TACACAACAGCAAAGTGCTTGCATGTGGGTGTGACATTTTTCGTGGTAACATGGAGCCAATCCACGAATCACATCACATTATATTAGCTGACCAATCACAGCCTCTCGAGGGCGGGCCTTTCAGAGGAACTAGAAAATAGGATAGTCATTTTCATTTTAGCTGTCTAGCTGTATAATCAAAGTAAGATAAATGAAAAAATAACGTGATTTTCTACTAGTGAAGCATGAGGTCTAGATATGCAATTGTTTTCGCCCTGTGATCCCAGGTTCAGAATATGCATTGTTAATATTGGTTTGTTAATAAAACAACTGCAACAAGGCAGGTCGGCCTTTGTACAGTTCTGATTAACTTTCACGCTCATTGCACATGCGAAGACCTGTCCAATGACCTCTTTGTATGTAAATCTGTTGTTGACATCACGTTTCCTCACGTGTCGGTGTGTGCATGTGGAGTTTCTGCGTGGCAAGTGAAGGAGATACAGCGCAAATGTGCAGGTGAGGCTAAATCACAGCGCATTGCTGTCAGTGTTTGAACTGATACAGAAACATAACAAATGCCTTTTTTTGTTTTTGCTGCAAAGAGCCTAGATCAGTCATCACTAACAGCCAGATTGTGGTCTGTGTCCGGACCCAGAAGCATCTTATACAGACGTGGACATAGTCTGCAGCAGGTCTGTTATTTCAGTACTGCTTCGACTGTGTGTTCTTCCACACCCGATCACTCCCATTTTCCCGTTGCTAAGAACAGTTTTCTTCTCAATGTACTGTTCCCTCTGAATTAAAGAAACTTTAGAAAGAGCCAAACTTTTCTTAAGTTTCATGAACTAAGATGGTGCTGATAAGTGAAACAGAACTCACTGCAATCATAATAAATTCATATTAAAATTATAAATAAAAATGCATTGTTGCCTTGATAATGCAAGCATATTGTAAACAGAAGTAATCAATACTTTACTCAGTTATTAAGATGTGTTGACAATTATTATCTGCATAATTGGTTGAGACTTTTAAGTCAAGTAGTAAAATAAAAAAGGGGGAATTTAAGCCTTTTCTCTTTTTTAAGCAATTTATTTGAACAATTTCAAAAATTCCCCTTCTTTTATCAAATTAATGCGAGAACATGCAAATCTATAGTCATACGTATAAAACCTGTTGCATTGTCAGGTGTTTGTTAACCAATAAATATGCTTATTGTTCTATGAATTGTTCTGTAGGCTTTTTTTTCTAAGCAAAGAACAAACTGTACCATACTGAAACAGTGACCCTAAATCCATGATGCATTGTAGATTGAACCATTGCACCCCTAATGAGCACACATTGCTGTGCATCTCAAACACAACCAAGCCTTAAATATACACTCTGGACCAACCCTTTAAAATAATAATAATAATCATCATCATCATGATCAGTTTCCTTCAACAAGTTAATGTGCTTGCTTGACTTTTGACAACAAACCTTACTCATAAAACCATATTTTAGCTTTACCTTGTATTTGCAGCTTTACCTGCGAATAAAACCCTTACCATAAAAGATAGCATAACTTTAATATTTGGGGGACTACCCTCTTACTAACTTTCACTTATAGTTGAATGTAAAATGATTAGCACTCATGCTAAATCTTCATTTTTTTTCAAATATTTCCCAAGAAATGTTTGACAGAACAAGGACATTTTTCAAAGAATTTCCAATAATATTTTTTTTCTCTGTAGAAAGCCTTTTTTCCTTTAGTTTGACTGGGGAAAAAAAAAAAAAAACAGTGTTACATTTTTAATTATGACTTTACTATTAAAAAACTATTCGCCCACTATTGTCCAATGACTCATGCCAAGTTAAACTAATTAACCCAGTTAAGCCTTTAATAACACTAAGTTGAATACTAATAACTCACACAATAACTTGTGAAATATAAGGTAGTCATGGGAAAGGCAAAAAAAATTTGTTATTAGATACTTGTTATTAAAACTAGCAGGTTTAAAAACATGTTAAAAAAATCTTCTCGCTGTTAATAAGCACTTGGGAAATATTAATTTATTCATTTGTTTATTTTCTTTTCAGCTTAGTCCCCTTATTAATCTGGGGTCACCACAGTGGAATGAACCGCCAACTTATCCAGCATATGTTTTACGCAGCAAATGCCCTTCCAGCTGCAACCCATAACAGGGAATCACCCATACACACTCATTTACACACATACAATACAGACAATTTAGATTACCCAATTCACCTGATCCAAGTTTTTGGACTGTGGGGGAAACTGAAGCACCCGGAGAAAACCGACACGAATACAGGAGGAACATGCAAACTCCACACAGAAACGCCAACTGATAAAGCCGAGGCTCGAGCCAGTAACCTTTTTGCTGTGAGTTGATTGTGCTACCCACTGCATTACCGTGCAGGGTGATGGGATAATGTAATATAATAATAATTTTGACTCATACATTTATAATATAATCCACAGTGTGAAGTTTTAAAGTTTTGGTGGTGGGAAAAAAAAACTTTTATAACAACAAATAAACTAATTAATGTAAAGGGGTGGTCCACTACGATATCATATTTTAAACATTAGTTGATGTGTAATGTAGCTGTGTGAACAGTTCAATGCAAAAAATGAGATCTTGGTTTTTACAGAGTTAGTTTAGCCTACAATGAACGAATTTTGGGGACCACAAAAAAATATTTCCAGGCCTGTAAGATCACAAACGTATTTTTACCACGCACACACACTGCACAGCTAAGGGGCGTGGCCAGAGGCGCTGTAATGTTACAGCAGAGGGAGAAAATGCCATCCTGCTATTTCTACAGAGGTTCTCTGTTTTCTTTATTTGGGCTTCCAAAGGACACGACACAGAGACAGAAGTGCTTACAGTTCAATATTAGTTATGTTCCAGTAAATTATAAAATACATAGCAAGCATGATTTGAAAAAACACAGCTTCCAGAATCTCTCCCATTGTAGTGCTGGATTCAGTTAAAATCTCCTCAAAGAAGGAGCAGCTCCAACAAGCCGACGCTGTGAACTCTGAGCCACGACCTGTAAGTGTTTTTATTTGTTAAAGTTGATCTATTACATAAACAATGTCTGGCGTTAATGGTATGCTGTAGCAAAGACGTAAGCAACAGGAAATGCTGTTTGGCACTGTTAACAATTTAGCTAAAAATTAATGTTTATCAGTCAAACTTCAGTAAACACACTTCACCAGCATGAGCAGTGTCTCTCTGTGCGTGTGCGACTGTGCAGTGTTTCTCTATAGGCAGCTTTTCCATGCGTTTAACATCTCAGATAATGAACTCGCAAAAGATATGAGAAAGATTCATGTTACTTACACAGGCATTTTCCGAATATATGTGAAAGGTGTCGTGTAACGTGTTGAGTAAAAAAATACAGGAGAGCTCGCCTAACTAGTGTTGCAGCAGAAAAATAAATTAAGGCTCACACAGGTTGCATCCCACATCTTGTTCTTTATTCTTCTGTCTACAGTGTCACTGTATATTACAGAACAATAACTTAATCTGAGCATCATAGAAAAGAAATATAAACATTTGTCCGCCACACATGCGCTTCTCAGGTTACCCGTGTCACAAACACACACACACACACACACACACACACACACACACACACACACACACACACACACACACACACACACACACACACACACACACACACACACACACACACACACACACACACACACACACACACACACACACACACACACACACACACACACACACACACACACACACACACACACACACACACACACACACACACACACACACACACACACACAAAATGGCAAACTCTCTTACAGGAGCAGCACCACATATTCACTTGTTACAGACATTTACCAGATTTTATTTTAGAGAGCGGGCATGAGGTTGACAGATTGTTTACATAAAAGTGTGTGCTTGTATGGGTGTGACGTGGAGCCGATGCACAAATAGCAGCACATTATGACACATGACCAACCAGAGTCACTTGAGGGTGGGCCTTTTAGAGGAACTAGGAAATGTGACAAACGTTTTCATGTTAGCTGAGTAGCTGTATATAACCAAAGTAAGATTTATGAAAGGATAACATGATTTCCTTCAAGTGAAACATCAGCACACATTGCATTTGCATCTTATTAACACAACCAAGCCTTAAAATTACATTTTGGACCACCCCTTTAGGGGCCTACTCACACTATGCTATCCAAACCGTGCCCAGGCCTGTTTCCCGGATTGTTTGAGAAGTGTAAGTGCGCTGAATCGGGCTCAGGCATGGTTCACTTGGCCGGCCCTGGCCCGTTGGAAGATGTGTGCCTGAGCGGGGTTCACTTGTGCTTTGGCGCGATACGGACTGTTTCGTATGGATTTATTTATCATTCTTACTGTTCAATGAACGCAAACTGTCGTAGTTTATTAAAGACGCCAACTTCTCACTGCACCACAGCTGCGCCTTCAGCAAACCTCTTAATTCCTGCAGCATGAGGACTCTATGACTGTTTATGAGCATCAAAAGTGGCAAATTTGCTTAGCGAAATATCTGACTGTGTCACTGCATCCCAAATGACTACAACAAAATAACTACAGAAATCTCCACTGTGCTGAGCGAGAGCGCTTCTCTACTGAATAGCACATCATCGATGACGTAAGCGTGCCCAGGCCTGAATGCAATGTGAGTGTGGGCCGAGGGGGGACAAGCGTGCTTTGGCCTGCTTCAAGTCAAATGTACATGGTGTGAGTACACACTAAATGACTTACAAGATCTTTGTTGACCATTTAATAGAAACCTGGCAGAAGGATCCCGCTGTATTTTGATATAATTTATGCAAACTCTGCTTGACACTATCAAATACTCTGTACTTCCATAAACTTACATTAAAAATAGAGTGTCTAATTCTGTGGAACAGCATGTGTAATATGTAACAACAACAACAACAACAACAACACATCCCTTGTCATGGGGTATTCACGGTTACGTATTTTCTAAAAAAATGGAAAATAACTGACCATGCTGGTTCCTCCAGTCCAGTAAAGAAAGAATCCATTTGGGTCCACTCTGAGGGTGATCAGGCTGGGTGTGCTGTTGGCCTCCTTAACAAACAAACATAGAGGAAAAAATACAGGGTGTCATTTAGCATATTCACGCAATTTTGCCAACAATGTCAATATAAAGAGCCAGAAAGTCATTTGCTGAACAACATTAGTAAATGTTAAACTAATCACTGGAAAACAATGACATGGATTAGAACGTTCATTGCATACAAGTAATTGTTGCTAATTCAACTGCAATTTAATTAACCAATACCATGGAAACAGAGTCGCAGTGAGCACCATGCCTTTGCCAATAAACATCAACAATGAATGCATAAGCAGTCATAAACTAAATTACTGAGACACAATATAGGCATAAGGATTTGAAAGCAAGTTAGATAAATGGGAAGTGCTTAGAATGGGTGGATGGTCCCGAGAGACAGTGTTATTTAGAAATGAATGTAATGAGTGAAACCAAAACCTCAAAAGCCAGAGACATTAAAAAAGCTTAATGCACCAGCCACAGAAGCTGATAGCTATACAAACTCACTAATTCTTAAATCACCAATTACACAATATACCGGCAGCCATAATCGCTATGATCCGATAAATCCTTTTTTTTATTATTGCAATCAGCAAAATAGGAAAATTTAACATCCCCATATATTAAAAGCTGATAAATTATGCATTACATTCCCAGCCATGAATTTTGATGATTGGTGATAAACAACACAAACAGCAGATGAAAGAAGAGCGTTTAAACATAGTTTTTCCTAGAAGAAAGATAAGATGTCCGCAGGAAGACAATACTTGCAGTATTCTGGATTTCTGCGGTTAGGTTTTAAATTAAGTATAGCATTATCTGTGACACTTTACAATAAAGTTGTATTAGTTATTGCTAGTTTATGCATTTAATAACATGAATAAATACCGTAATACATGTAAAAATTTATTGTTGGTTCATGTCAGTTTTAGAAAATATATACGTTCATAATTAGTTTATGATAACTCTTGGTGCGTTAACTAATGTTAACAAGCATGAAAGTGGATTTTTATAATGCATTAGAAAATGTTGAACTATGGCAAATAAATAATGTACAAGCATTGGTCTTGGTCTAAATACATTAACGAATAAAATCTTCTTTTAAAAAGTGTTTGCGAATCTGCCAATGGTTGTCATCTTCTAAATGTAAAGATTTATTGGTTTCTGTAAAAGTAGATTCATCAGATTCATCATCTGTCTGCTATATAGGGACAGACTAGTATAAGATTCTAATGGTATGTTAACCTTGGATAAAAATACCACGAGTTCACGGTATTGTAATTACTGTTCTAAAATAGGTTCTTTTTTAATGTCTATGTAAAAACAAAACAACAACTTATTCCCTTTTGAAAACAATATATTTTATTTTTTTCACCTTTATTTTTGATAGGACAGCAGAGAGAATTGACAGGAAAGCATGGGGAGCAGAGAGAGGGGAAGGATCGGCATAGGACCGCGAGGCAGAATCGAACCCAGGTCACCGCGAGCACATGAGTGCATGTGTCGAAGCACTAACCACTACACCACTGGTGCCGACCAATATATTTTATTTTGAGAAACATGTCAGGCTAAATAATTCAAATTAATCATTTACTTCTGTTGTCTTCCTTTAATTTAAAACAGCATCTTTTCTGCTGAAGATACTGTTGTTCTAAAACTAAAAAATGTAAATAAAAAAATCTTACATATACCATAGGAACGGTATAGCAGACATACCTTGGAAACGGTTATTGTCCCATGGCTACTGCTACAATACACATAATACACAATGCACAAAGGGTTTAGGCCAGAATTTTTATTTGTAATGAACATATTAAAAGAATAAAAAAAAAAAAAAAACTTAGAAAACATTTATTTTATTTTGAATATATGCTGTTCTTTGAACCTTCTATCAATTAAATATACCTTAAGAAATGTATCATGCTTTCCACAAAAATATTAAACGGCTATTGTTTTGATGATGATAATAGTGATAATCATCGTCATCATCATCATCCATTTTTTTTTTTTCGGGCTAGTCCCTTTATTAGTCAGGGGTCTAGTACAGTGAAATGAACCGCCAACTTATCCAGCATATGTTTTACGCAGCACATGCCCTTCCAGCTGCAACCCAACACTGGGAAACACCCATACACACTCTCACACGCAATTAATTAATTAATTAATTAATTAATTAATTAATTAATTTTTTTTAACTTAATAAAAAATTATAAAATTTAAAAATTAAATTAATAATAATAATAATAATAATAATAAATGTTGGCATATTACAATGACATCTGGAGGATTACATGAAGCAGAAGCCTGCTGTCAATTAACTTTGTCAAAATATGTACTGTATAGATTATATTATCAATTATATTATAAAAGAAAAACAATGTACATGTTTTTTATATACATTTCCAAACTTTGCATGGCAATGAACATACTTTTTGGTCAAGCATGAATATCTATCTGCATGTCATGAAAAGTTTACACATTACAAAAGCGCAAAACAAGCCAGTTGGTACTACAAACAAACCAGAAGTGAGATTTCCCACAATATGTTAAATCATGATTTTAAAATGTTTCATTATTGTCTGGACTGGACTGCCAAAGGATTTTAACTAAACTTGAATTTAAAATGCAAGAGCAAGACATGCAATAAAAGACTTATTTTTTTTATGAGCAGAAATTTAATAAAATGCTGATTTTATGCAGTGCAATATGCCATCATTCCAGACCAGTCAGAGCCATCTGATTTAGGTGAGGTGAAAATCCACTCTTATCTATGTCCCCAAGAGAGCGAAAACACCCACTTCAACTGTCATTTACTGAAAAGAATTTCAGACACGTACATCAGGGCACTTAATCAGCTATGTTTGAACAATCTCATCTGCACATATTCTTCTAGTGTGCGGCTCTGATCCATATACGCAGTCTTACAGAATGTTTACATTTGATTAATTTAATCTTGGAGCACAGATTTCCTTTACCACTTCTTTAAAAACTCCACCCAGTGCCTAGAGATACAAGCTAGCGCACACCAATAAATACACACAAACCCTCTCTCTTCCACACACACACGCACGCACATACACACACCCACTTTCTTTAAACACATTAAAATAATTTGATTGCTGAAACACTACAAACCTGATTTTTATGATGTACTGCTAATGTTTTAGCAATACATAAAATAACTTTGTTCAATTATAGCATTGATTCTGACTAATAATCATCGAGAAGTACTCAAGCTGTCTAGTCAGAAACCCAGAGTGTGTCTGTGCTTGTGTGAGCGCGTGTGTGAAGAGGGAAGTGAAGTGACCTTCACCCTGTAAGGCTCATTAGTGTGTGTGTGTACTGACTTACAAAAACTTGTCAAGCTTCTCTGACTCCCAATGTCATGCCCTAAAGTATGTGTGCATGTGTGTGTTTGTGTTTTATACAGGTGAAGGCAAATGTATTTACTTGAAATCTTTGTATTCTTTTCTTAATATCTCCAAAGTGATGTTTAACAGAATATTCACAGTATTTTCAATATATATTTTTTTTCTTAGTTAATTTAGTTTGGCTATAACAGGGGTGACCCATTTTTTCGTATTAAGGGTCAATAACCTAAGATCACTGAGAGCTTTGGGCCGGAGATATTTATTCCAAACTACGTTACATTAAAGTTGCCATGGGTAATTCCCTTATTTACTTCATAATATTTTAAAATAAATATTAAACATTACTTTAAATCATATAATCTAACGCAGAATTACATTTTAAATGAGAACTTGTTGCTTTAAAAACAATCAAATTCATAGCACAGTGGAGTTCAAAGCTGAATACACTAAGCAGAATCTACCTTGACTTGCTCACTAAAGTCTCTGCATTGTCAGGTGACAGTACATTTATACAAAATCTGATTTCATTTACACTGTTTAATTGAAACATTTAATTCCTGTTAACTTGTATCAATACCAATGAAGCAAACAAACAAATGGTTACATTAAATTTGAATTGCCAATCTGGAAACCATCCCCATCATACTCCCTCTCTTCAACGACTTGCCTTATTAAGCTAACTTGCCTAGTTAGGCCTTAAATTTGCACTTGAAGACTAAACAAATAAGTATTTAAAACCAGTTACAATTTTGAGTTATGGTGTGTGCTAATCAAGAACTAACTTTAACTACAAATTGAGAATAATGACTATTTGTTAGTTCATGTTTGTTAATGGAATAACTAACACTTTGGTTTAAGCTAAATATAACTTCCGCTATGAGAAAGAATACTAATTGAAATCCCATTTTGACCAACATTAACTTAATAACTCATGATCTCCTCGGTCTAAACCTAACGTTCATAAAGTTTCCATACTGGAAAAGAATAGAAGTATTCAGTCCACATCATGATGAACGGTTTTACTATGGGATGAGAACTGGTTTTAGGTATACTGCGGTTTTAAGAAGTCACGGTTTTAAAACAGTTAAATTTTTCTGTTCTATCGTTTCTAAGGTATTTGTAAGTTTTTTGTTTTACGTGTTTTTTATGACTATTTAAATTTTTTTAACAATAGAAAAGGCCCCTCTATACCACAAGTTACTGCAGTCCCTGATTCAGAAAACATCTGAAAAAACAAATCTCATATAAACCAACATCCAGCATTCTGTAGAGCTAAATAGAGCAGAGGCTTGCTTTTTATCCAAAGAAAAGAAATACATTTAAAGATGCCTTTTCAAGAAATCTGTTTTTAAAACTAATTAAGGCAGCAGAAGTCCATGACTTGTTTAAATCATTTAGCCGGACATTTATTGTTTCAAAATATTTACAATGTTTAAAAAAAAATTGCTTAAAGGGACAAATAATTTTGTCCTTAAAATGTTTTTAAAAAAAATTAAAAACTGCTTTTATTCTTGCCAAAATCAAGGAAATAAGACTTTGTCCAGAGGAAAAAATATTATCAGAAATACTGTGAAAATTTCCTTGCTCTGTAAAAAATAATTTGGTAAATATTTAAAAATGAAAAAAAAATTAAAAGGGGGGTAATA